GTGCGGGTCAAAATAACTGGATTAGAGCTTGGGGTCTGCCCTGAGTGCATTTATGCAGTTTGGTGGCTGTCAGGTAAAGGAAATAATGAATGGATGAAAATGAATGGAAGTCTACGTGAGGAATGAGGGATGAAAGAAAGATACTTAAAGGAGTGCGGGTCAGTATGTCTGTGAAGTAGAGTTTGAAGTCCTACTCTTAGTGTGTACATGTAGTTTGGTGGCTGTAGGAAAATGGAGTGAGTTTGTGTGGTGGCGAAAATGAATGGGTCTTTGTGGGAAAAACGAGAGCTGAAAAAAAGACAAATCTCGATCGCAGTCTCTTGAAAGCTGCGGGAATGATTACTAGGTTGTTGCTCTAGTATGCCAGGTGGTTGCTAGGGTGTTGCTAGGGTGTTGCTATGGTATCCAATGTGATTGCTAAGGTGTTGATAGGTGGTTGCTATGGAATCACATATGGTTGGTAAGGTTTTGCCAGGTGGTTGCTATGGTATCCCAGGTGGTTGATATGGTGCAGCTAGCCATTTGGTATAGTATCCCAGGTGGTTGCTTTGGTGTCTGAGGTAGATGCTATGGTATCATAGGTTGTTGCTAAGGTGTTGCTACGTGGTTGCTTTGGTATCCAAGGTGGTTTCTAGGTTATTGCTAGTTGGTTACTATGGTATCCCAGGTGGTTGATAAGGTGTTGCTAGGCATTTGGTGTGGTATCTTAGGTGATTGCTAGGCGGTTGCTATACTATCTTAGGTGGTTACTCAGGTGGTTGCTATGATACCTCATATATTTGCTAAGGTGTTGCTTATTAGAATTTTTTTATTATAATAACAATATCAACACTTAGAATGATTGCACTTTGAGAATGGTTGCTAAGGTGTTGCCAGGAGGTTGCTAAGGTATTTTATGTTTGCTATGGTGTTGATAGATAGTACCTATGGAATTCCAAGTGGTTGCCAAGGTGTTGCCAGGATTACAGCAAAGGTATCACAGATGGTTGCTAAGGTGTTGCAAAATGGTTGCTATAATATCCCAGGTGGTTGTTTAGGTGTTGGTAGGTGGTTGCGATGGTGTCCCAGAGAGTTGCTATAGTGTTGCTAGATGGTTGCTATGATATCAAAGTTGGTTGCTGGGGAGTTGATAGGAGGTTGCTATGTGGTTGCTATGGTATCCCAGGTGGTTACTAAGGTGTTGCTTGGTGGGTGCTATGGTGTCCCATGCGGTTGCTAAGGTGTTTGCTTGGTAGATGTTATAGGATCCCAGCTGGTTGCTAAAGTGTTGCTAGGCAATTACTATAGTATCAAAGGTGGTTGCTAAGGTGTTGCTAGGCCATTGTGATGTTATTTGAAGTTATTGCTAGGGTGTTGCAAGGTGGTTGTTATAATATCCCAAATAGTTGATAAGCGGTTGCTATGGTACCTCAGGCGGTTGCTAAGGTGTTGCTAGGCGGATACTATGGTATCCTAGGTGGTTGCTAAGGTGTTGCTAGGCAGTTGCTATGGTATCCTGTGCGGTTGCTAAATTGTTGCTAGGCAGATGCCATGAAGTATGGGGTGTTTATTTGTAGGCGGTTGACAAGTGTTATGGCTGTGGATTAGAGCTTGGGGACCTGCCCTGAGTGAGTACATACAGTTTGGGGGCTGTCAGTCAAAGCAAAAGAAAGGGCTGGGTTTTGTTACAAAAATGAATGGGACTCTATTGGAGGAGCGAGGAATGAAAAAAACATGCATTTTTGTGTCTGTCGGTCAAAAGAAAGTATATGTCTCTTTTGTGGATGAAAAAAAAAAATGTTCATAAATGAGGGGAACGAAGGATGAGAAAATGACACAGAGGAGTGCGGGTCATTATGGCTGTGCAGTAGAGTTTGAGGTCCTACTCTTAGTGAGTACATGTAGTTTGGTGGCTGTAGGGCAACAATGTAACACCTCACCTGCTGAGAAACTCCCAGTAGATGAGGAGAGCTGCACACTAGCCATTCCCCTGTCTGAGGTGGTGAGATCCTTCAGGGCAGTTAACCCACACAAGGCACCCGGTGAGGTTTTCACTGACATCTTTAACCTCTCCTTGAGACTGTAAGTGATTCCCACATGCTTTAAGAAAACCACAATTGTTCCAGTCCCCAAGAAATCGTCTGTCACCTGCCTGAATGTCCACTGCCCTGCTGCATCTACACTTATGAAGTGCTTCGAGTGGCTGGTCAAAGCTCACATCTGCTCAACACTTCCAGCCACCATGGACCCTCACCAATTTGCATACTGCTCCAACAGATCCACAGACGACACCATTGCACTAACAATACACCCTGCTCTCACACACCTGGACAGAAAGAACAGGTATGTAAGAATGCGGTCAGCGCTCTGTCAGAGTGGAGCCATGACAGCGATCTCTGTCTCAACATCAGCAAAACTAAGGAGATGATCGTGGACTACAGGAAGCTGCAGAGGGGTGGTCACTCTCCCCTATTCATCAATGGAGCCAAAGTGGAGAGTCACCAGTGTGAAGTTTCTCTGCGTACACCTCACTGATGACCTCACCTGGTCCCTCCACACCAACACTATTGTGAGATCTGCCCACCAGCGTCTCTTCTTCCTGCGTAGGCTCAGGAATCCTCACCAACTTCTACAGAAGTACATAGAGAGCATCCTCTCAGGCTGCATCACTGTCTGGTACAGCAGCTGCACCGCCTGCGACCACAAGGCCCTTAAAGGAGTGGTGAGGACGGCAGAAGCCATCATAGACAACAAACTACCAGCCTTACAGGACGTCTACCAGTTCAGCTGCCTCAGGAAAATTAAAAAATTCCGGTCAGACAGCGTCACCCAGCACACAGCCTGTTCACCATCCTGCCATCAGGCAGGAGATTTTGCAGCATACAGGCTAGAACAACCTGGTTAATGAACCAACTACCAATTCACTCTGTCAATATTATTATATCATATCTCTGATATGGACAATAACACTTTAACACTAAGTCACTTTAAAAAACAATAACAGTGAGTCACTTAAGTCACTTTAAAATGTATATTGTCTCTACATTTTGTGTATATTTCTCTTCATTTTGTGTATGTTTTCTCTATAATTTCTCTATTTTGTGTATATTTAATATATTTCAATTTGTTTTTTATATTTTAATATTTAATATGGTTTCTGAAGTTAATTGTTGCCAAAATGTTTTAGTTTAGTGTGACACAACTTGCATATAGTGTGGCTCCAGTCCAGGTCCTTTGTCCCTTCAACTTCACAGTGCTTCAATACGGTAACTCGGGCAACATGCGTCTCTTTTACTGCCACAGCAGAATTAAATTTTTGGAGTAAAATAAAGCTCTACTGATTGTTCTAACAATGTTTCAACAATAGATGGTCTTAATCACAGCTAAATCACCACACTAAAGCCCTGAAGCTTGGCGTGCAGACTGCAGGTCACATAGCAACACAGACAATCTCGCCTAGCTAGTAGGTAACAAAAAGGCAAAGAGAAAGATTTAAGATGATCATTTGGATACGAAGGACTTATTTGCATTTGGTTTCCTGATACTGTCAAACGCTACAAAAAGCAGAAGCCAGCTTCTCTTTCGAATTTAAATCTGCATTTTCACATATTTTTCAGCCTATACTAGGACGTCAGCACATACTGAGACATATTGGACATTAAATGTTGTGTCCCCCAAGGTGGTTTGATTCTTGTTGGAAGGACAAAATGGCTCTTCTTAACATTTGGGTTTCCAACCCCTGACCTAGCTTTTAATGCAGAGGCTGCCAGTTGGATTTCTCACCCATTTGTGTGTTTGTTATGTGCACGGCACAGACTGTCCAGGCGCTGCACTTACACACTTCCAAGTTTTGCCTTTTGCGTTCCATCCACATTACATTATCAATAAAATGTAGAGAATCATCCATGTCCGCATCACGATGCATCTAAGAATCGATTCCCCCACCCACCGCTAATTGTCTATGTAGTAACAAGTAACAAACTGTTAAGGTTAATTAGACAGGAGGTTGGGGAACCAGCCTTGTGATTGCAAGGTCGCCGGTTTGATTCCCTGAGCCGAGGGTACATGCCTGAAGTAGTGTGTGTTCAATAGTGTGCATGTATGTGCATGGAGGGGATGGAGGTCCAATTCCTCTGTGTGCCAGCACAGTTGGTCAGTGGTTCTAAATTTTAATTACTTTGTTGATTCTCTTCTTGTTGCTTCTTTTCTTGAGTGCCTTGTTTTTCTGTAAAATCATGGATTAAAACTTATTATCCTTCAAAAGTGAGTTTGGGTCTCCCTTTGGAGGGAGTTTGTAACAGCTTCTTCTCAGAAGGTTTTACACTAGATGTTGTGAGGATTCAATTGAATTCAGCCACAAGAGCCTTAGTGAGGTCAGGTACCAGTGGATGATTAGTTCTGGATTGTAAACACCACTCCAACTAATACCAAAGGTTCCAGAGAACACAGTACTACTGCTTCACAGCCCAACCCTGGGGAGATTTACACCCCTCTAGCCCACACTTTGCATTTAGTGACCTCATGCTTATGTGCTCCCAAAGCAGCTCATTCTATTGGCAGTGCTTTTCTACTTTTTGACTGTGATCAATAACTAAAACCTTGGATCACAAACTGATGCAAGACTGTTGCTCCTCTAGTTTATTTCCACTAACTCTGTACCTGTTTATACTTTATCATCCTGTACTTATTTACATATGATTTAAATTTACAGTAAATGGACATTCTTCTTAAGAGCCTCACTTTTAAACAAATTTAAAACAAATATTAACATAATGAACAAATATTAACATCCTAGCAGTCAACAGTTGTTGGCACACATTGTGCTGAATTTGGGTAGAAGTGAATGTACTGTTACTTGAAACTTGCCACACAGGAAAGTGTAAATATGTCACACTAGACTGAACTGAGTAAATACTAGTGATAAACCCACCCCTAAAATATGATACATGTATTTTGTGTTTCCTCTGGTTTCTGCTTTGACCGAGAGATGTATAAATAGGCTACTGTTTCTCAGACTGGACATTCTTCATCTACACCTCCAACACTGAGACGTCCATCCAGACAAATACAACTGCACACAAAAAACACCAGCAGCAGAGCAGGTACTCTAATTTTGTCTCATTAAAAACTTTTGTGTGATGTGCCATATTATGATGAATCATTTTTAAACTCATCTTTTATGCAGATTTATCTACAAAGATGTTCTCTGTGCTGTCCTTTGGATTTCTGTTGATATGTCTGTCAATGAATCATCTGGTCCCCTGTGAATCCAGATCAGGTAGTTGAATCCTACATACAGAGGAACAAATGTTAGAAAAAACACCTGATTTCTGTGCTGTTTATATTTGATTACATGTATATTTTTCCTCTTATACATTGCCCTTTAAAATGTGTGACTCTAACCTAGTTATTATCAAACAACCTACATAATCCTTAAGTTAAACTGCTTAAAATAGTTCAAATATACCTAAATAAACCTTCAACCTAATTGGGAAGTAAATTATGTTCTTTTCTCAGCTCTGAAAATGTATAAGAAATAATTCATTCAGACCTGTGATGTGATTTGAGCTGCTAGTGAACTCATAAAGTGTCCCTCAACATTCTGTTGTTATAGCCGGTATGATGTACATAATTCAGGATGGAGAAGCTCCTGAACCACCTACTGGCACCAAGGGGAAACCTGAGTGTGGCTACGTGGCTCGAAGCTGCAAAGAACTCAGAAACAAGTATAAAATCGATGAAGGTAAAGCTGGAATTACTTGAGTCTGAAATTTTCCACAAACATATGTTGTGATCAGTCAGTGACGTTTGTTTATGAACAGATGGCCTGTACTTTCTGACAACGGAGAGCGGGGTGGTCTACCAGACCTACTGTGATATGACCACTGCTGGAGGTGGCTGGACGCTGGTGGCCAGTGTGCACGAGAACAACATGTATGGGAAATGCACTGTAGGTGACCGCTGGTCTAGCCAGCAAGGTAACAACCCCAACGTACCTGATGGTGATGGAAACTGGGCCAACACAGCCACATTTGGAACTGCAGAAGCTGCTACCAGTGACGACTACAAGGTAAAGTAACCTGATATGCATAAAATATTAAAGTACAACAGTGTGCAAAAGTAAGAGATGACCTGTGCTTGTACCATGTCGTTTATTCAGTTTCCAGCCAAAAAAAAAAATACACAAAAGCTTCCAACACAACGTGTAATAAAAACTCTATCCAGACATTCTGTACCTCTTTTGCACTCTGCCACCTCTTTAACTTTCCAATCTCAAAACCGAGTTATAGCCGCCTCCCCCCAAAAAAGAGGTCTGACTATGCAAAGATGAGAAACCACCCTTTGATTTAGTTCCTTATCAAAAGGTTGATCAGGTACAAGTTATTCACTTTTCAGTGTCAGCAAAGGTGGAAAACACATTTAACAGAAAATCACACAGAAGAATGAACTAAATGTAATATAGGATGTTGGAGTGTTGAGTGTCGCTCTTTACCTTTATTACAGCCTCCATTCTTTTCAGGAGACTCACTTTCAGTTTCTCAAAGAAATCTGGAGGATATTCAGGCTTGGTTCCATTTTCTGTTTCACAGTCTGATCTCCAAAAGACAAAGACAGTGTGTTGAATTAAACGGTTGTTCAGTTGTTGCTGCTAATCTCAGCTTACATTCCTCCACTGTTGACGTAACTTGACTGTAAACTGGACCCTCCACCCTGAGATGCTTTGTGAAGGCTTTTTAATTCCGTTTAACGGTCCATCGCTCTTATTTCTTACAGAACCCTGGGTATTACGACATTGTGGCTCAGGATGTGTCTGTGTGGCATGTTCCTAATAACGCTCTGGTACAACAGTGGACTGCTGCTTCTATCTTACGCTACCACACTGAAAACCGGATTCTCAGCCTCCATGGAGGGAATCTGTTCAACTTATTCAAGGTAAAACCACAAATATCTCAAATCCAGTCTTTATTCTTCCCATATGAGAAGAGCTGGAGAAAGTACAGAGACTGTACTGAAGTGGGAGTGAGGGTACTGTGTTGTGAGGGGGGTCTGGACAGATCAGACACTTGCAAAGTAGGCTGTGGTGTAAAAGGGAAAACAGAGGCGGAATCCAAAAACAGGCTAAGGTCATACACAGGCTAACAAATATTTGCAGACCAGACATAGACAAGGTCAAAAAGGCCGGCAGAATGTCTGAACACGAATGTGGCAAAAATAGAGTTCAAAGAGGTCAGGCAAAAAGACGTAAACGAGAAACCAAAACAAAGTCACAAACCAGGAGATCGATATGAACAGCAGGCTGATACAATACTTCACAAAGATCCTACCTAAAAGCCTGGGCTTTATACTAACTCTAAGGATTCACATGACAAGGAATACAGGTGTAAACATTCATCATGGAACTGTCACACGATGTAACCCAGCCTCCGTCTTGAAATAATGCAGAAAAATAAAAATGGTATATGATATGTATCGATACACACACACACACACACACACACACACACACACACACACACACAGCTTACTCATTAAACCTTGTTTCTATACTTATTGTCCATTTTTACTTTGTAGTTCTACTTGTGATACTTATGATGTACATCACTGCTGTCGGAATGAAAACCTTGTATCTCCAAAATGGTAACTTTAGAGGACCGTTTCTTCCATTCATCATGACATTTACACACAATGTGAAGGGCAACAGGCTTTTCAAATCACGTCAACAACTGGAAAACAAGAAAAATGGAGATATGAAGATATTGTTCCAACAGCAGCGATATAGGTTATGACATTTCCAAAGCTCACTCATTTTTAGGCCAAATGAAAGGTCACACACACAAGTCTTCATGCCTCAGAAACTCATGAAGAAAAAAGCCCAAACTTTTCCCACTATTGGCCACAATGACACGATTTCTTGAAAGAATCAAGTTAATCTCAGACGCTCAGCCTTGTGTTTCCTTTTTCATTTTGCTTTTAGAAATTTCCAGTGACGTTTGGAGCAGGAGTTTGTCGTACTAATAACGGACCTACTGCCCCAGTGGTGTACGACTTCGGAAATGAAGCCTCTACCAGGAACTTTTATGGTCCAAACCCAAGAGGTAAGTCAACATCCTTTGACTGCTCAGAACCTTTTCCACTGATTCCACTACTAAAATTATGAATATTCAGGCTAGAAGCGTGAAATTAAGAGTAAATGTGAGTTCAAAACTTAATATTGTTATTTGGTTAAAATGGTTAATAGTTTAATATAATCTTTTCAGGAGAGTTTGAGGCTGGCTTCATCGCTTTCCGGGTGTTTAACGTTGAGAAGGCAGCCATGGCGATCTGTTCTGGAGTCAGACCAACCGGCTGCAATACAGAACATGTGAGTTAATAAACTGTCAAATTTCAGAATTTACTTTTGGAAATGGAACAGAACAAAAGAGGGTTCCTCACTGAACACTTGTGCACAATATTGTGATCATTATACAATTTCATATCGTTACATGATTTACTTGATTATTCAAGTGATTATATAAACAGCATACTACAATATATCAATTTAAAACTATTATAAGAAGTCGCTCTCACTTTATTTGGATAGTCCACTATAGATTATCTACAGATGTTTAAATTGTTAACAAACTATCTGTTGAAACTTGATTATAAACTGATTATAAACAGTTTATGTTTTGTGTATGTTTAATCTGTTTCTCATTTTTCTAAGTTTGCACAAACATAACTGAATTGAAAAGAGCTGCCCTGAAAGCTGAAAAACACACTATAGAGTTAATTAAACACTACATCTGCACCACCACAACTAAATTAATAAACAAATAAATAAGTCTAATAAATCTAAAGTCTAAATCTAAATTGTGACTTCAGACTGTAGACTGCCCACTGTAAAAGTCTTTCTGTTTCAGACTGCGTACGTGTGTGTGTGAAGGTGTTGGATGAATTATTAAAAAAATTTGAGGTACTCACTGTTTGAATATGGAACATTTGCTTATATATATATTGTTGATGTTTTGCAGTACTGTATTGGTGGAGGAGGTCATTTCCCAGAAGCTGCACCCAAACAGTGTGGAGATTTCCCTGGTTTTGACTGGGATGGATACGGGACAAATGCAGGCTGGAGTGCGTCCCGAGAGATCACTGAAGCTGCTGTGCTTCTCTTCTATCGCTGAGACCCAAATCACACACTCAGCCTTCTCTTCTGCTTCTATCATGTAGTAAATTTACAGAATGTAATAATCAGTGCTTTATTATAATAACTCTGAAATTCATTATGTAGACATAGAAGAAGAAATCAAAGTAACCTGAAAACGAGTTTTCAAACTGCTACCACGTCACAACCAGGCACCCAGAAATGAACAGATTGACCGGCATGTCCAGATTCGTCAGGGAAAGTTAATGATGTGTTCTACCTACCAGCAGCTCATTACACCTCTAAAATGGCTCAAACACAGTGGAGAATTACAGTGTACTTTGTTTTGTATTCAATAACTGTAATAAACAGGTGGGCGACTACACATTTTAGCTAAACTCTACAAATTAAATTACATTCCAAACCTTCTGATTTACCACATATGCCTTATATAAACTTCACTCTGAGACTTTCACCATAAAATAAAGTTCAATTCACGACTGAACATCTGTTTCAATCAGGACCTCTGTATTTTAAAACTGTGTATAATTATCGGACTCTGCAACATCAGGTACAAACTTACATTTATGTTTTGTTACCCATTTCTTCATAACCTCGTTTGTAACAGGAAGTGTATCCAAATTTATGTCGACAAATTTATCTCATCCTGTTGTCTGTACTGATCTGTTGTACTCATATTTTCCTGAAAGGTGACTTTCCTTTTGACTCTTTGTGATTCATTCTGTATTTCCTTTAAATCAAATGCTGTGCTCTCATTTGCTAAGCCAATATATTAGCATAGTTAAAAAGAAAAACTGTGTCTGTGTCTTTTATTCTTTAATTTTTTTAGTCACCTGGACAAATCCTTCACATTTTGACAACTGAAAAGTTTGGCAGGTATGAATTTTAAAAAAGAAGAAAAGAATCAGAATAATATTCATCAAAAATCAGAATTAATGAAAAATCTTTTAGAGTGTTTGTTTATAATTTCATTGAAAGTTTAGACCAAAATGGTATTTTCACTGTAAATGACACTTAAACTGATATATATACTCCATGGTTTATGGTCACATTTTACACTCCAAAGAAATAGTTTTGAATTTGATTTTTCACTGGGTAGATCGATGCTGTAAGACACCAGCAGAGGACACTGCAGTATAAAAAGGTAAGTAAACATTTAGAATATAATGCATACTCTAAAATAAAAAGTAAGGGCCCTTGTTGACCTTATTGTGAGCTCTGAACTAAAATGTAAAAGTTTGTTCCTCCTGAACAATGAGTCTGCATTCCAGCCCACATTTAGCCCAAAGTTTCTCAGGGTTGTCCTTCATTCAAATTAGAAGACCATGCCTGGCCCAGAGAGGCTAGGAACAAGGAAGCTTCACAGCAAAATAAACCAACTGTACAACCCACCACACTGCATGGAAGTGTTAAAACAAAAAGCATTATTCAGCTAACAAGATGTATCACTTTTAGTTCATGCACAAAGGCCAAACACACAACTCGACATGCAGAGCATGTGATACAAACCATAGATTCCCAAGAAAACATTACAATCTTAATTACAGTAATAAGTTAATTATAGCAATATAAACAAGGTATTTTGCTGTACACAAGCAAGCTTATTCAAAACAGATACCATATTACTGTCATGCTTCCTGATTCTCATTCGGAATCTCATCCCATTATGCACTACACTTCCTAGAATCCTTCCGTCAGTCACATGACTCCGCCTCGTTACCGATTCCCGACTTTGTCCCTTTGGCTTAGTCTACCTGCAAGTTTGCTTTTTGCCTAGGACCCTCGCTTGTTTACTCGACCCCGTTAACATGTATTGTGTTTGGTTTATCTGGTTGCTGACCTGGTCTCAGTTCATTTTCCTCTTTCTAAACCTTATGTTTTATGTTTTATTTGGTATATTATATTATATTAGATATGTATTATTGTGGATTTGTGTGATAAGAATCAGCTTAATCTGAGTATTAAGAATCACAAGACACTGTCTGTAATTACAGTCCGGTGGTTATTCACAATATTACATTTAGGGTTTTGTCTTAGTATCTGTGTGTCTATATTTACAGTACACGCGGGTGGTCGACCCATGTGGAGTATCTTTGTGCCACACTTTATCAGAACTTTGGAGCGGATCAATAACTTACGATCCTGTTCTTTCATGCCATATTAGAGAGTATTTTAAAATATGGTGTTTCAGTCACTGAAAGAGGCACTGTTACTCCGGGAGACTCAAAATCCCAGAATACCAAAAGGTAATTAGTGCAAACCAGGCACACCTGTTGGTAACGGCATTTAAGGCTGTGGCAGACAACACCTTTGTAGAGGGTATGGTACTCAGCTCAGGTAGGTATAAAGACAAAAAAAGAGAGATAAGAGAAGGATAAAAAGAGAAAACAAGCAAAGAAGAGAGAATAGAGCACAGCTCTAAGTTAGTTGACAGAGAAGAAATGAGAAAAAAAGGAAAAAAGGAGAAAAAGACATTTTGATATAAGACAAAGAAAACAATAAAACAAAAAAGAGAAAGAAAAGTTATTAAACGTTAAATTTACCTGCATCTCTCCACAGCCCTCTCATACATTCTCTGGAACTCCTTTCAAGGTCGTTTCACGGGAATTCATAAAGGGTACACAGTTAGAAATAAAGCTCTTTTGTAAATCCACTTTTTATTGCCAGCTGGTACAGGTTACCATCTCATTCAGCAATCTTCATCATTGTTCAGTGCCAGCTTCATTTTGACTGTGACCCAGTCGTGTTCAAATAATGATTTATGGCCATCATAAACAAACATTTTACATAAAACTTATTTAAAAAACATAAAAATATACTTATTTATGTTCATTTATATTCATTAGAAGCAACCCAATCTGGATAAATCCAAAACTGATTTAACTTTTCAGATTTTTCCTCTAAATCTGCTTCAGCTGGCATGGTGGACATGAAATGGCTCTGTTTATTTTTACAATCTCTGCCATCCTTTGTTATTCAGTGCAACTGCAATGAAACAGTGATGCGCATTAACTTAATTTGTGTTTTTATTGTATATTAATGTTTCATTTTGCTTATTTTTAGAGAAACTCTGGACAACACCAGTGAACTAGCTAGCTTGCATCCTTGCTGGGTCTGCTGTCATGGTAACGGGTATAAAAGGTAGATTAAATAAACAATGGGAGTGATTTATTGATTTATTGTGAAGCATAAATAAAGATGTATTCCATTAATATTCAAATCAACAGTTCATGGTTTTTGTAACTGTAGGTGACCTCGACATATTAGCATGGCATGAAGTGACTGATAGCGTTAGCTGCTAACCGGCAAGACGGTCAGCATGAGAGCTGCACCTCAATAGAAATGTCGTGCACATAAACATTTGCTTTAATTAGTAGTTTAGTTATGCATGAAAAGAAATGTTTATTTCTTTCACATTAGACTTTAAAGTTACATGTGTCTTGTACTGAGCCTCAAACACTGTTCAATACAGTTTAGGCTACAATGAATGTTTGTGAATTAAACATGTCATTTAATACATCTACACAGTCTAAGTAATTGTGCTGTGAATACAGAAGGTACTATTAACTCTTTAGAAATACATAAATGTTCTGTAAAAGGATTGCATAAGTCTTACAAGCACTTCTAATTTAAAAGCTATTTAATTCATTCAGGTTTATTGATGTCACACTTCCGGGTTCTCCTCCCTTGTCTAATACTCTCCAGGACTCCAATTCCCATAATCCCAATCCTGATGATGTCACTCCATCCACCAATCACAAACAGCTTCCTCGTTCTCAGACACCTGCTTTACACCTGTGTTTTAGGCTTTATTCAGTTCCTGGTTTGTTCTCCTCACTGCGAGGTATTGCCCTTTTTTGGACTACTGAGCGTTTCTTCGACTGTTTTTCTAATCTTGTGTATCAGACCCTTTGCCTGTTTCTGGATATTGCGTTTTTGTGTTTGCCCTTTTGCTCTGGTTGTTTGTGCATTTTTGTGTCCTCTGGTTTTCGACTTGGGCAAGGCTTTTTGGATTTGCCCTTATACTGTCTCTCATTAAACCATTTCCTTTTTAAGATCCGCGAGCGTCTTTCTGTGTTTGTGCAGCATTACAATTGAACATGGTGGAGAAACATGAATTATAATTCCATTTTTACAATGGATTTATGTATTTAAATTGAATGGAGAATTGACATGTAATTAAAATACATAAGTTTTAACTTTTGGGGTTAAATATTTTTGAGTGTAGGGGGCGGCTACCAACAGGGCAGACCTGCCCCTGGGGTGCTGCTGAGGGCAATAAACCCGAACAGGCCTGTGCCTCACTGCACCTCCTCTTAGTGCAAATACACTGTGTCTCATTATGTGTACGATCTGTTCCTGGATATAAACACCTTCTTTTGACTTTGGGGCAACATTTTTAACTCGCATCCATTTGATGGTGATATTTGATGTAATCTATTAAAAAATTACTAAATATTCTTAACTTATCCATTTGATGGTGATATTCAGTGGAATCTATAAAAAATGAACAAACAGTGCTTGTGATTGGATAAAGATAAAGATAAAGATAAAGCACACCCTCTACGAAAATGTTCATAAATACAGAAACTACTGATAACTGCCTCATTCCGCCAACTGACCCCAACACTCCTCATTAAGATTAACTGCTTTAACACAGTCGCATTTGGAGCTGCAGAAGCTGCTACGAGTGATGAGTACAAGGTACAGTTCTGCTGCTTTATAATGTGTATCATTGTAGTTGATGCAGAAAAAACCTGCTGTTTGCTGTTTCACTGTCTATGAAGAACTGGCAGAACTGGTTTGCTTGTATAAACAGACAGTAATATAAATACAACAGTCACTTTTTTATTCCAGCAGAACAGGTAGAGCAACACACACACCTCTAGTGTCCGAAGTGTAGTTGTTATGGCTGTCAGAATAACAGTAGATACTGTTTACAGACACTCTGACTTGTCCTCTTTGTATTGGAATAACAGAAGATCTCATTTACAGATGCTCTGATTTGTTGTCTGTGGG